CAAGTGGTCAGGGCAAGTTGACAGTCAATCCTCCTTAGAAGGAGTAGTCAATGCTGGTCAGGGTTCCTTCGGCCAAACGGAAGGAAGCGTGGTGTGGGTAAAACGTTTTAATCTTTTGACTTGCCAGGGGAATAGGAACCGGACTGACGCTCCCCAAAATGGATATGGAGCCAGGACCATAAGGAAACCACTAGTACCTTTGGCGCGTGGGAAAATAGCGGGCCTCCGGTGGGCCTCCGATCTTTTCGAAGGCCGAAATGAAACGACGGCCGCTGATCAGATTTATCAATGGCAGCCGTCGTCGGGCCCGGCCTCCGAAACTTTAGGAGTTTGGGAAAACGTCCACTTTTCCCTATTTTCCCACGCGCCAAAGGTACTAGTGCTACCAAAAAAAAAAAGAAAAAAGAAAAAAAAAAAGTAAAATAGAGCCTTATGGCTTCGTCTCTGTATCCATTATGGGGAGTGTCAGTCCAGTTCCTATTCCACCAGCAAGTCAGAATACCGAATTCAATGCACTTCAACTCTTCTCCCCTTTATGGTAGAGAGACCCGAGTGGGTGGCATTGATTACTACCAATCTGGAAGGATGTGCCTACCCTCACCCCTGCCTAAGTTAGCCTATTGCTACTGGCTGCTTGTTCTCTAACCCATCCCCTTGTTCTGTATCGTCTATTGCTACCATCTCCCCCATGCAACACCGCCTGGAGTCGTCCCTCTCAGTGTGCCCAAGGTAGACAGGCTGTGTTACATGCTGCGCCTGCAACAGGCTGCACGGGCCATTTTCAGGCCCGTGTTGTTTTCAGCCTGAAAGCCTGAAAACATGGGCCTACAGGCCCCGTGTTGTTTTCAGCCTGAAAGCCTGAAAACAAGGGCCTACAGGCCCCGTGTCGTTTTCAGCCCGAAAGCCTGAAAACAAGGGCCTACAGGCCCTGTGTCGTTTCAGCCTGAAAGCCTGAAAACAAGGGCCTACAGGCCCTGCCCCGTGTCATTTCAGCATAAAACAGGGCCTTCCCGGCCCTGAGCCTTTTCAGCCTGAAACGGAGGGCCATTTTCAGGCCCTCATAAGATCGACCTGCCCTGAAACATAGGCACCAGACCAGTGTTTTAGCTCAGGCCATGTTTGGCCTATTTTCAAGACAACCTTTGTTTGAGCTTCAACCCCACGGTCTCGCACGTTTTGGCATTGGCAAGAGCAGCCTCCTGGACGGGCCAGCACTACATAGGACTGGCCCGCCCTGCAGGCCGCAGGTAGTTCCTAGGTACTTCCCAGGCACTTCATGTGCAGTTCAGGAGGCAGGAAGTAGTCTTCAGGATTCGGCAGCAGGACTCTGGAGGAGCGCTGCAGGAGTAGTAGTAGCGCTAGCAGTAGACTTCAGCGCTGGGTGCTAGTGGCATTAGCAGTGGTCTTCAGCGCTGGGCACTATTAGGAGCTAGAGTAGTACTAGAGAGAGAGAGATTGGGCAGAGGCCAGGGAGACTTACCTGCAGTGCCATAGCTCCAGCTTCGCCTTCGAGGTACCTGTAGCATGGCACCATCTTCACAGGTTAGCACCTGGCACATGAGAGAGAGAGAGTTTTTCTTCTTCCTCTTCTGAGTCCACCATCTCCCTCTCACCCTCTCGCTACCTGACTTCACTGCATCAGCAGACTATGAGAGAGCGGGCTTGGTGAC